TAGGGACACAAAGCCAGAATTAGGGACACAAAGCCAGGCTCTGGCTGCTCTGCTCAGCTCTGACTGCTGACACCTCCACAGCCCCACGTGGACAGTCCCTACAGGGACTAACAACACTCCCAGAGCCCTCAACTCTCCCTTAGAAAGGGAAAATGATGGCAAAGAATGGTAAAGAATTGTAAAGAATGGCAAAGAATGGTAAAGATTTTTAAAGCCCTGTTTGCAATGCCCTCCTGATTTAATGAGCTCACTGTCCCTGTCCATGTCCACCCATCTTTAAATTCAGCAGCAGGCACATGCAGAAACGATGCCCAAAGCATCTCTGGGTTTATTCCAGTGGCTGTGCCCCGTTTCCAGGGCAATTCCCAGAGCCACGAGCACAGCCTGGAGGCAGCAGGGAAACGGGAGGATTCAGGCTCTTACATCCATGATCATCTTGCAGTTCTTGCAGGGCCCGATCTGGCTGAAGAGCTGCAGGATCAGAGCCTCGGTCACGTCCCTGGAGAGGTTCCCCACGTACCTGAGGGACAAACACAGGCAGGGACACGGGTGTTGGACACGCTGGAGCTGCAGAGGGGCTGGGGAGTGAGATGGGATATTGGGATGGAATTCCCAGAGGAGCTGTGTCCATCCCTGAACCCCTGGGAACGTCCACAGCCAGGCTGGACAGGGCCTGGAGCAGCCTGGGACAGTGGGAGGTGTCCCTATGTGTCCATCCCTGAATCCCTGGGCACGTCCACAGCCAGGCTGGACAGGGCCTGGAGCAGCCTGGGACAGTGGGAGGTGTCCCTGCCCATGGCAGGGGTGGCACTGGATGGGTTTCACCTCCCTTCCCACCCAAACCATTCCAGGATTCCATGGCTCCATGGATCTGACCTTCCAAACTGATCTCCAGTTCCCATCTCCCTGCACTGATCTCCCAGTACAGAAACTCCAGTTCCCACATCCCTACACTGATCTCCCAGTACAGAAACTCCAGTTCCCATCTCCCTGCACTGATCTCCCAGTACAGAAACTCCAGTTCCCATCTCCCTACACTGATCTCCCAGTACAGAAACTCCAGTTCCCATCTCCCTGCACTGATCTCCCAGTACAGAAACTCCAGTTCCCATCTCCCTGCACTGATCTCCCAGTACAGGAACCCCAGCTCCCCCACCCCTGCCCCAGCAGCTCAGGCAGTTTGCCCACATTTCCCACAACATTTTGAAGCCCTCAGGTTTAGGGAGCACCAGATGTGCCTGGAACACCTGGGTGCCAACGTGCCCGAGCGCACACGCTCCCAGCTGGGGAAGGATCAGCCCCCCCAGCACAACCCAGCCCAAACCCCCACTCCCCCTGGGACTGTCACCCCCTCGGGTGGCTGGTTTTGTTGTTTTTGTTGCTGTTGTTGAGCCCAAGCCGTGGGGTTTTATAAAAACCTCAGCCCCCGAGGCGCAGCCACGGCTCCTGCACAGGAATGCTGCTGGGAAAGCTGTGCCAGCCGGGAATGCTGGCCACGTGCCAGCCCTGCAAGCAGCCTGGTGCACCTGCAGTGCCCCCCGAGGGGCAAAGGGGCTGCCAGAAAACAACCTGCAGCACGTGCGAGCTCTGCTTGTGCTCCAGCCCTTGGTTATGGGGGAAGGAGACAGAGTTTTGTCAGGAATGGCTCATCCAGGTGCTAATTATTAAAACAACTTTTAGGCAGGAAGCAGGATTGGATTTTAAAATCAGCAGACAGACCCTTACAGACATTGTCTGGCTCTCAGTGAGATTCCTGTGCTTCTGAAGTTTCCTCACTGCCACGGGGGAGGTGGAAAAGGCAAAAACAGGGAGCTACTTCCAGGAGTGTCTGCAATCTGCTCCAGAAAAATAACTGCAATGTGTTAAGGAAGGAAAGGACAGGGTGCAGAGGGCTTTTGGGAGCCCCAAAATCCACACCCAGGGAGCAGAAACCCTACAGAAATCCCCGTGTGAGCACGGATTTAACACCCACTAAAGGGAAGCTGCACTTCCTGCATTTGCTCCTCACTGACACAGGTGAGGTGGAAAAGGCAAAACCAAGGATTTGCAGCAATGTCTGGGAAGGAAAAAACAGGGTGCGGAGGGCTTTGGGGGTCACACAAGTCGGGGAACCCCAAAATCCACACCCAGGGGGTGTTCCTGAAGCAGAAATCCCACAGAAACCCCTGGGTGAGCACAGACTGAACACCCACAGGCTCCTTCCACAGCCAGCCTGGTGACAATTCCCTGCATGACCCCAGAGGCACGGGGAGGGAGTGAGAGCAAAGGCAGCCTGGCAGCTGCTGAGCCCTGAGCTGTGTTTTAAGGCAGGCTCGGTGTCCCTGCAGCTCCTTTCCAGCCCCAGCCGTGCCCTGTCTGTGCCCCCAGCTGCACGTGCTCCAGGACAGGGATTTGCATTCCCGAGGCCACAGGCCCCACAGGAGCCTTGGGATGGGGGAAAACATCTTGCCAAATAAACACACCAACGCTGTGTGTTTGCAGAGGCCGGGAATAGCTCCCAAAACGTGGGGAAACAGCGGACTGGGGAAGCAGGGAGCGCTCAGTGCTGGGGACAGCTGGGGTGAGGCACGTCCGGGTCTCGTCCTGTGGTCACTCAGCCCCTGGGGAGGGGCAGCACAACAAGGGCACAGCATTCCCTCACCTTGGAATGATTCCCTCCCTCCCTCCCGTCCTTCCTGCTGCACTGGAGAACACTTCGAGGGGTGGCATGGCAAGAGTGGAGCCTGATTTCCCCGATCCAGACACGGGAAAGCTGCTCCAGGTAACACCTGCCTGGGAGGAGGAGGGAAACACAGGAGCTGTGCAAAACAGGCAGGCTTTGCAGCACCTTCTGCTAAAATCCAACCTAAACCTCCTCTTGACGTGGCTTCCTAATTCACTCTGTGGGAAGCAACAGGTTCAGGGAGTGCTTTGAACACTGGGATTCACGGCAGGTCATTCCCTGGAGCTGCTGAGCAGGCCAGTGGGGCTCCAGCTGTGTGCCAAGGCAGCCCCCAGGGCAACGTCCAGCCGGTCGCCCACAAAACCCTACACGGATCATCCAGAATGACACGGAGTGGCCTGGGGTGGAAGGGACTCGGATCACCCCAGGGCAATGCCCTGCCACGGGCTGGGATGGGGGCACACACACCCTCCAGATGTGAGCGGGGATGTACCAGGGAGGGGCGACACCTTCCACACTGCATTCCCTCCAGATGTGACCTGGCATGGATGAGGAGAGGGGCACACACTTTCCAGACCCCCTTTCCATCCAGGAGAAGGGGCGACACACCTTCCTGACCACTTTTCCCTCCGGATGTGACCTGGCATGGACTGGGAAAGGGGCACACACCTTGCAGACCCCTTTTCTCTCCAGATGTGACTTGGGACGTGCTGGGGAAGGGACACACAGCTTGCACACAGCCCTGTCCCTCCAGATGTGAGCTGGAGGCCCAGGGGAACGCCCGGAGCGGAGGGCAGGCCGGCGGTGCCCAGCACCGGCACCGGGGAACGGGCAGGAATACCGCGGGAGCCGGGCTCCCCCTCAGCCCCGGGCGGCCGAGGGCCCGCGGCGGAGCCCTGAGGGGCCCGTCCGTGAGGCGACCCCGGGCCGCCCCTCCCCGCGGAGCCGGGAACAATAGGCGGTCTCGCCCCCTCCCCACTCACAGGGTCTTGGGCATTTCATCCTCCATGGCGCCGCCGCCGCCCGCCCCGGCTCTTCCCGCCCGCCGTGGCGGCCCCGTGAGCCCTGGGCAGCCCGGGCAGCCCGAGCGGCGCCGGCCCCGCCGGCGGACGGTCCCGCGGCGGCTCCTCGCAAGATGGCGGCGGGCGGGCGGGCT